TATATATATATAATAGCGTACAAAAATGCCATGTTTATAAAAGTTCGAGGAAAGAGGATCAATTTAACGAAAGTTATTCATGTTGTTATCCTGCACTAAACAGTGAAGAAAACTAATCCCCCTGAATTACTTTTGAATAAAAGGAGGGTTATTAAATAAGTTAAATACTATATCAATATTTTTCTTAGTTGAACTACAAGATCAGACACAAAAATGAATTGCTTCTGAACGAAAATACTTTTATTTCGAATTCTTGACTTTGAAATACATTGAGTACCTATCATCTGAAATATATTGTCCCAATAGTTCAGTTGTTGAATTATCACATTTTGAGATTTTTATTCTATATCTAGATATTTTATGAAATTTTTGTTATTTTATTCTAATTTTAAAAATTGAATTGGAGGCACTCCTGTCGAACCCATTGGGGCCATATTTTATTCTTACTTTAATTAAGAATTCAGATCCCCATGAAACAGAACCAACTATAATTTCGTGTTGGCAATCATTTTTAAAATGTATTGAAACAGAGTAACGTTTCTTACACGCGTTTCAAGAATTGAATTAGAGTCTATTTACTCTTTTTTTTTTTACTTTTTAGGTTTTTTGATGAGGATGAAGACTACTATAAGTGGGAGGAAAATTGGGATGACATGTCTAGAAATCCTCTCAACTTCCGTGCAATTCAGCTTCTGCATCTTTATGTGTGGTTCACTTGTTTCGTTGAACCTAAATTGACTGCTCTATCCCAGATACCCTTCTGACCAAGACAGATATTTTTAGGCTTTTTAAGGGGATCAATCCTGTATACTATCAAAAGATAAATGACGTATGGCAATGGTACTGCAATCTAGTAAATTATGAGGAAACTTCTGACAAGCGTCCAAGATCTCTGAAGCACCTTTCAAGATGCATCATCAGAAACAGATTAAGAGACAACATTAAGTTGCCCGAAGGAGTGGAAGAAATGGGTGTTCCCAAACAAGTCCAGAAGTATTTACTTCTGAAAGATTTCTACACGATAGAATGAATACTTTAACTTGGAATCATTTATTCAAATTATTTCATGAAAGATATTAAGGACTAATCTCGAAAGGATTTGAATGTTTGAATTATGATTTCTCCATATGTTTTTGTTTCCTATGAACACGCTGTTTCACTGTTGAACGTGAAATATTTTTTCCTCATATTAATAAACAATGTACTAAAAAAAAGATTGTGTGCGTACTAGTACGATTGGTTTTGGCTTGCGCCTTTCAAATAAATTTTTTTTCATTGATTTTTTTATTTTTTCTTTTATCTTTAGTTTGTTTGAAATATCTATCTACGCACCTTGATTTAACCATGTCAAATATCAAAGCAGATGCATCCAAACATAAAAGTTGGCAAATCTAAATCTTCTGTACTACGATGCGTAGATAAATTACCATATAAAATGTCTGCGTGCTGTTCACGAAAATGTGAATTTACTATTAACATCACAGTTGTTTACCAAATAATTACATAAAATTACTAAGTATGGCAACTTGCGACTATTGACTTTTTTATTTTATATCCTTCGCTGAACAGCCTACTCAAATCAAATTCGAGTTTATGGCTACCAATGTTCAACTCCATAGATTTGTAATTTTGAACCTAATCCTAAAGACAAGGGAATCCTTGATTAGTACTCCCAAAGGTATTGATTTGTCTTGGAAATTTGGAGGACTTTGTGACCCTACATATTTAATGTAAACCAGTCACCATTTAAAACACTGGGATTCTTTTGATGTTGTAATAGATAGTTTTGCACGTGTAAAAAGGTTGTAGGAAAAAATTGAGTACCGACATGTGGGGCTACTTTGTGCAGGATTTCGCAGTTTTTGAACTTCGACATGTAAAAAAACTATGTTAATTCAAATTTTCGTAAAATTTATCGATATTATATTCATAACTGGGCTCAGACGAGTAAATTTGATCAATATTGACATTATTTGTATGTAATATTTACAAATAATAAGTCAAAACATACCTTGCACAAAGTAGCCCCCAAGTGGGGCTACTTTGTTATTTATTTTTTTGTGCACTGTACATTCATTTGAAGTATATGTCAATATTGCTGATAATAGCAAAATATTTTTTCATTTTTATATAGAAAGGAAATTTCGCTGGTGGTTATCCATATATATTCTTTGATTATTTTAAGGATTATGATTGAAAGACGAAAATAAGGTGAAATGATGTTTTTCAAAATTAATATCAGATATAAATAAATAAAAGCGTCTTTTATTTTGTCCTCTTTTGTTAATATCATAGTAATTGCATAGTAATAGCTTCAAAATAATAGCTCAATGATAATTATGATAGTATCTCAATCTCGTCATATCTCAAGAACGTTTTGCGTTTTGATTGAATCGAAAAAATTTTCATACAATTGCAAAAATTCGTTTTTCCAAAGGTAATGCCATGCAAAAAATATAGTTTTAAATAGTTATAANCGGTGATGCTGATGAAGATGCTGAACATATTCTTCTTCACTGTAGTCTCTATGCGAGTGCCCGAATGAATTTAAAGACTGATTTGAGACGTCTTTCAATTTGTTGGCCACCTGTCTTATCAGAACTGGTCAAAAGTATTGAAAGTCTTGCGGCCTTGCGGAATTTGTTTTTAATGTAAATTTGTAAATTTTTCTCCTTTTGTTTTTTACTTACAACTGTAAGCCTCATGCTATACTTTGTGGTGCATGAGGAGTTTTAAGTCGTTCAAATTTAAAAAAAAAAATCCAAAAGACAAGGGAATCCTTGATTAGTACTCCCAAAGGTATTGATTTGTCTTGGAAATTTGGAGGACTTTGTGACGCTACATATTTAATGTAAACCAGTCACCATTTAAAACACTGGGATTCTTTTGATGTTGAATTAGATTGTTTTGCACGTGTGAAAAGTTGTAGGAAAAAATTGAATACCGTCATGTGGGGCTACTTTGTGCAGGATTTCGCAGTTTTTGAACTTTGACATGTAAAAAAAACTATGTTAATTCAAACTTTAGTAAAATTTATCGATATTATATTCATAACTGGTCTCAGACGAGTAAATTTGATCAATATTGACATTATTTGTACGTAATATTTACAAATAATAAGTCAAAACATACCTTGCGCAAAGTAGCCCCCAAGTGGGGCTACTTTGTGCAGCGATAGGAATTCAGTTTAATAATCATGTTTTTAGTAAAATATTGATATAAAATTGCTAAAAAAGTTAATAACAATAACATCAAGATATGTAAAGATATTAGTTAGAAAATAATTTTCAGCGTTAAAAAACTATATTTTATGAATTTTTTTCTTAAAAAGAATGTTTATTTCAAAACATTTGAGTTTAAACAAAAGGAAACCATATATATTTTTGGACAGTGAAATGGATCAAATTTCAAAAATAATAATTATTACATATTCATTAACATTTATAATATTGATAAATTTGAACATAACATTCTTGAATAAACATGACAGTACTTGCTCTTCAGTTTCTGTCAAAATCACCTGGTGTACTATAAAATATATTTTTATGCGTTAAATCGTTTGATTAGTTCATCAGAAAAATCTTTGCAGAAGAAAAATAATAGTTTAACAGTACGTTTAACGTGTTACTTGCGAATTTTATTAGAGATAGTATTTCTGTGGATTTTGTATTTCCGAGAAGCTTCTGCAATCGACATACCACCAGCAACTGCTTGCAAACATCGTTGCAGTTTTGTTAGAGTGTAATCACGGTAGTTTCTCGTTCCAAGTATTTTTTTATAACGTCTGAAAATTTTTCTGTCGAAAAAAAAATCGAATGAAACTTTGTACAAAGTAGCCCCACTGTGAATGTTTTTTCATTTTCCGTTTTTTTGTCATTAATTTTCAAAATTTTTTAACGCTAACATGATATAATTGTTTATTAATATATAAATAAAAAATTTTGCACTTACGACAATTGTTTTATCAACGCCTTTGCATTTCACAGCTAAAGTTTCCACTCACACTTTTCGACGTCCGACGTTCTCGGAAAGTTGTTGACATTGGATAAACAAAACACACTCTGAGGTTGTTTTAAAATTCAAAAAATTTTTTGTATTAATAGAGGAGACTTCTACCTTCAAATTCCACACATTTTAACGTGAGAAAAAAAACATAATACTGAATAGCAGCACTTGAGAAGTTGTAAGTTGTCACAGTTGTAAGACTTCCTCTTTGTTACGATGCATTATTTGGATTTACAAAAAATATGATTGCTATTTTAAAAATCTTACGATAATTTATTTTACCTTGAAATGGGATAATTTTAAAAATAGTTACAGATAATGTTTAGGATGGTCCAAATCACAGAATTAAGCGTCAATAACATTGTATGTCAAAAATGAGGGATTTTATTTGTCCCCTATGTTACAATTACTTTTCATTAACTTGTACTTTAATTATTAGGCTCTTTTATTGTTTTATGCCAATTAATTAAACATTGCACTCCTAAAGTAGCATATTTCGGTAGAAATTTTGGTTTAAAAAATATTTAATGTATTTTTTAGAATAAAATACTTGTGTGATTTCCCTCTGCCACGCTAGGAAAATTCAACAAATACTTTAACCTAAATATTAATTTGAGCCAATAAAATGCATTAAAAGAGACGGTGAACCGTATTGTCCAACCTTCATATATATTTTTGAACACCTTTTAAAGGACGATATACACTTACACGACACAAAACAAGTTTTAAATTCATAAGCGCTAGTAATAATTAAAATTGCAATTGATACATCTTTATCTTGTAAATTATTATCTATTATTTATTTTATTAATCTTAACCATCAAAAAAATCTGCAAAGAAAGTTAGAATAGAACAAAACACTATCCAGTGTTACGCTATCATCCAAGGTAGCAAAAAGATATTATCTAATATTATAAAGATGTAATGTAATACTGTCGTGCTAGAATATTTATTTTATAAATCTTTACCGTAAAAGAAATCTGCAAAGAAAGTTAGAATAGAACAAAACACTATCCAGTGTTACACTATCATCCAAGGTAGCAAAAAGATATGATCTAATATTAGAAAGATGCAATGTAATACTGTCGTGCTGGAATACGCAGGACTCTTCTATTTTCTAATATTAGAACTAATATTGCATAAGATTAAATAGTGTTGGATCTAACATTCGAACTTTTAAAATTATCATCTATTTCATTACTTTTGGTACAGCACCACATTTTTGCGAAAGGGCATCCCATGTTTTTAATAAATAAACATTTATTTATGAAAGAAAACAATAAATTAAATATTATTTAAAATATTATTTTTAGCCAATGCATTTTTATGCTAGAAAAAGCAAAATAATATTAGTGGCAGTTCGCAAACGATACAACTCGAAAAACGTTATCAAGTGTTGAGTTGTAACTTCATGATTGTTTACATTCGCCATATTGTTTGAGAGTCGTCTGCCAACTTGAATTATTCATTTAAAGCATTTTAAAACATGTGGTGAATTTATTATACTAAAAATTTTATAACACAAATTAAATCTAAGACACAAATTTATTTAATTTTAATTGCATATAAGGCATTAATGAAAAACTAACTTTTTATTTTAGTGAATCCTTTTGTTTTAAAATATATCTGTGAATAACAGCGATTGAAATAAAGGAAAAAGAACAAAAAAAGGGGGGAAAGAAAGAACTATAGAAATGAACATTGGTACTTAATCAGGTAAGCGAAGAATCACTTTAACTAGTTAAACAATCCAACAGAAACTAGCATCCACACAGAAATCGGAATTCTTCTGCTACATTTTTCATTCCGGATTAAAAAAATAAAAATAATTGGTTTTATTGGCGATGATCTCGTATGACGATAAAGAATCATGCATAGTACACACGCAGAGCATTCAGAATTCTTTCAATAATTCCTTAAATAAGATAATAATAAATGTTTACTAAAAGTTTTAATTTGTATGAAATTATCTTTAGAAAAACGAATAGAAATTGATTGATCTCGTTGGAATAGTATGCAAAAAAGTTTCAATTCACTTAAAAAAAATTGGATTATAGTGAAATACGCAAAAACTAAAGTTAATATTAAAGGGTCCTAACTTTCAATCACACTTCTGAGAAAAACTATTAAAACAATATTTCTAGATTGAAACTACTATATTTTGGTGGTCAGGAATCAGAATCGGTCGAAAAAAAGTATGCTTGATCGGAGTACGTTTTTTCGTCTCATTTCCTAACTTAAAATATCGTTTGGACTAATTTATTAGTATATTTA